CACTGAAGGACTAGACCCATAGATATAATCATAGTATGTACGGCAACTTTAAAAATTCGTTAAAAATCTAATTTCATTAAGAATCAGCTCAAACTATCTACACAACATTAGTGCATGTATTTGTATCAGAAAAAAAATATTAAAATGGAGAATACTCATTCAGCCCCTCCTGTCATTTTCATAACAACCCACGTGTTTAATTTAAATATTTTAGTACAGGAAGGAAAACAATAACTTACCTCCTTCCTGGCTTCCTCCCTCCCTCTCTATCTCTTTCTTTGTTTGGTGTGTATTGGTACTCTACTTGACCTGTAGCTCCAGCCAGTCCTTTCTCTAGGATATTATGATACTCTTTGATATTATAACGTGGCCGGTCCGGGCCCTCTTCTCTCTCTTGTCATCTCTCCTCAGACTAACCCTCTCCATCTGTCTCTTCCCGTTTAGACTAGCAGCAAGTATAGCTAGGTAAACCAATGGCGGATTGGAGAGAAAGAGAGAGAGAAAGAGAGATTGTGCTAGTACAGTGACATTATTTCTATTTCTCTCCCCAGGTCTTTGTGGATTAAAGTTTGTTATGTGTTCCAATATGCTGAGAACAAGCTATCAATCCTCAAAACATGGAAGCCATTTTGTTACCTGTTCCCTCTCACACCAGTCAATGACAGCTCTGGACCGATCAATCAGAATGAAGGCGAGTCTTCAGAGATGAAAGGAAACTTAAAGAGTAGGGAATATAAATCACGATCACCATCTCCTGATGAAATGTAAGAGGATAATGTACATGTACAATCATATTACATGTACATGTATATACTGTTGGTTTTCAGGTAGTACAATAATTAATGTATAATAATGGTAATAATGAAATGTCAGTTTTTTGTTTACAATCTTCAATGTCAATTTGCCAAGATAAAACCCGGCCAAACCACATATTAGTTATATTATAATAAATAATTTTGCTATTATCATCATCATCATCATCATCATCATCATCATTATTATTATTATTATTATTGTAGTGATGAGGGCCAGACTATTTCATCATTAATACAGGACCTCCTTAAGATCAGTCAAACTGAAACACAACCACAGGTAACTTAATATAGTAACCCAATCTCTCCTTTAGAAATACAAACAGACATATTACATGTACATACTACATATGTTATCTTATAGAATTGTTGAGGAATTAATATTAATGATTAAGATTTCCATGAATAAATCACTGATATAAAATCAACTCCATTTTACTTTATTTTTCC